TTATGAGTCCCAAGTGACTCAACGGCACATAACAACAACAAACAACAATTATTGCGTGACAACAGTCGAGATTAAGAGGTGCATAATAAAGTGGACTGGGGGTGGACACAGGGAGGAAAATGTGCAAAAATGAGTAAATGGAAATTCAAGTTCTCTGTAAACTTTCTTTAAAATATCAATTTTTTTTTTAAAGTAATGAAGACTGTTAAGAGAAAAACAAAAGGTGGCCAGTTGGGCACAAGGAGGGAGTGTAAGGGAGAGTGACTCAAAGTAAGGTTTAATGACAGGTAGGAGGCAAATCAAGTAGTTTCATAAATTAGAGGTACTTTTCAGAATGACTTTGGGCAGTATACTGATGACATGGGACTTCCATTCGCATCACTACAGATGTCACGTGCAGCAAGAACTGAAGAATAAACAGAAATAAAGGCAACGGTTAGGAAGCCACTCTCACAATCCACATAGAAGACCACAGGGCTCGGAACTGGTGTACACTGAGGACACGATCCAGAGCACTAACAAGGAAGCTGAGTAAAAAGGCAGTTGCAAAAGTGACTTCAGGTTTTGAGAAAGAGTGAAAGGATGAAGGGAGAGTAGTGCCATTTGGTGAAACTGAACACACAAGAAGCAAGGGACAGGCCTCATTCTGAATTTTATTGGATCTGAAGCTTATACGAAGGTGATGGCTTTATTTAAAAGAGAAGATAAAATAATAAATCTCTATTAGCAATACTTAGGCTCCTACCAATGCTTAAAACAAGCAAGGAGCTACAGTCCAGTTAACTCTGCCTACACATAGCACCACAGTGTCAGAGCTGAAGTGCACTCCACGGGATCTTTAGCGACAAACTCATTACAAGCAGATCCCCAAGTCAGTCCTCTGACATGTCTCCGGGAGGAATGGAACCTCCAATCTTTCAGTTAGCAGAGCCAACAGTTCTTAATGTAGATTTGGTACTGACCCATGATTTGGGGCAAGCAATCAGTTTCTATAGTTACTTTGAAATTTATAATAGTGAATTATTTCATTCAAATATTTAATTCACTGGGAGGAGCACAAAAGTTTAAGCAGTGGAGGTAAATACTGTTACATACACAAGCCTTCAATGCATCAATAATAAAACTCTATAGATGGATGTGAGTGGATAAATAGACATGCAAGTTAATCAAGTAACAAAAAGGGTCCACCCCAGTGCAAAATGGCACAACTACTCTGAAAGACAGTTTGGTGTTTCTTTAAAAAACCTGAACATAGAAACTTTGTATGACCCAGCTATCCCACTAGAAGGAATGTACCCAAGGAAATTAGAACTGAGACACATATGGAGATTTGTATACCAATGTTCATAGCAGCGTTATTCACCACTGCAAGAAGATGGAAACAACCCGAAAGTTTAACAACAACTGAATGGACTGAGAAACTGTGGCAGCAAAGTCACACAATGCAATACTATGCAGAATTCAGGGACAAAGATTTCGAAAAATGCTATTTAACTATAGAGAGACTACGGAACATTATCCTGAGTGAACTAACTCAGTCTCATAAGGACAAATACTGTATAAAACCATCATTATAAAAATAAAAGTATAACTAGTAAAACATGTATGGGGACCCAAAGGGGGAAGGAGTGGGAGGAGAGGGGTGAGAATGTGTAGGGAGAAAACCACAGGATTGTACAATTTAGAGGAGAGAGGGAGGGCATAAAGGAAATGGAAAAAATCTAATGGGGACCTGAAATGACAGGGTAATGGTGGACATAGTCCAATGGGGATTAATTTTTTAAACATAATTAATGGAATGATTGTATGAAACACAATGTGGATAACAACAGTGTGAAACACAATGTATACAAACTCTGTAAGCAAACCCATATAAATGATTTTTTTTTAATGCCCACCAAAAGAATTCAGTTCAATTATTATTTTAAAAATATTAATATAAGCTAGAATATTAATGTAGTATTAAAGCCATGAGACATAAGTTTAATTTTTGCCACATAAAGAGGATTGAGCAATAATGAATCTTAATAATTCTTTTACGATAACAAATATGTTGAGAAAGAAAAGTATAAACATTAGTCTTTGATGAAGAAAAAATACCTTTATGTTACTTACATGATTATTCTGGAGATTTTCCAGCAATGATGAATCACTGAATGTTCTTTCATCCCCAGTCTGTGAGTTCTGCCTAAATGGGGGAAAATGGAGCATATCTGGTACTTTTATTTCAGCACACTGATATACTTGTAATTCAGTTCTGAAAGTCATCTCTATGCTCAAGAACTCTTTATAAATGCTGCAAAATAGGACTAAATCTGAATCAGGACACCACAGGTTTCATGATTGAACCATTCCACATGTACTCAAGACTTCTAACATAGGACAGACTTTTATTTTTTTGTATAAAAAAAAATCAGAGTTTATAGTTCACTATTTTTTTCTGGAGTAAAACTATATAGTCACATGAAATTAACCAAAAAATAAAATGAAATCACACATACACAAAAAAATTAACCAAGGAAAAGAAAGCACCTGCAGCAACAGAAGGGAATGGATTCCATCAAGTTCTAGTTTCCACAAATTTTAAATTTAATGAAATACTTTTAAAGAACATGTTGATTCTTTTTACCTTAGCAATATATGACATCTTTAGTTGTAGTTACAACATTATGATTCTATGCAAGATATAAAATCATGAAAAATAAACTGTCTACATCACACATTACCAGTATCAATAGAATATCAGCAAGTATTTAAAACATCCCACTTATTCTACATTTAGAAAAGAAAAATAAAGGGTCTGAAAGTAAGTAATCTATAAATTTTTATATTACAAGTTTCATACATTAGAAAGAGTAACATCATAGCCATAATGCATCAAATAAAACCAGTCTCATAGACAGCAACTTAGAAAGAATGGAAAATCATTGAAGAAAATGGGTTTGAAATAATAAAAACATAATACCTTTAATGAAATACATTTCTTCCATAAACCAAAAGAGGAAGTTAGGTTATTTATAGTAAAATATCTTTTTATTTACATATGGTAGCTTATTTAGTCCATTAATTCTAAAAATATATTACATCCTTCATATGAAGTCATGCAGCGTTCTCAAAGCATTCACAGGAAGTGGAAGAAACACAACACTGCTCTTTATTAATACTATTACCATTGCTCTAGTTTTTAAAATGGAATGAAAATTCAAGAAATTTTTAAATGACTTCTCAAAGGACACATCAAAGCAAAGCATCTATTTCTCCTCCAAAGAACATTTTATAAACATTTTAATATTTGGAGTTTATTAAATCCCCCCATAACAGTGAATTTTTTAGCAGTTCTTTTATTTTTATAATCTATTTGGTAGATAATTTGGTCATAAGAAATCTATTAGCTTCTTAAAAATTTCATAATAAAAGAATGTAAAACCTGATTACATCTTACTGCTCTCATATGACTCATTCATATCACAGCTAGCATAACTGATGCAAATTTCAAATACATTTCTAATCATATAGCAGTAGCTATGAATTTAAATTATTTCCAATGACACATATAAATTCCAATTTCACCACTGATGCCTTCCATTACAAATAATACTAAATTTTAGAATATATCTTTAAGAAGTTACTTCCTTCACAAGGTTATAAACAAACCAGAAATAAATCATCAGCTAATCAGATAACCAGAATCCAATGACTGAGACATGGAATGCCCTTTCTACATGAATGAATTTTACAAAACATTCACATTTAGTATTTAAGAATACTAAATGTCATTTAAGAATAAAACCCAGCTAGCTGCATTAAAAAGAAAAATAATCATTTAAGTCTGTTGGTGATAAAACTGTACAAATTTGTCAACTGCCTACTAATAAAAATGTAAGATAACATCAACATTGTTAACTTCTCCCCAAGACATGATCAAGTGGAACTCTGCATTTTAAAGAGACAGTGCCTGTTGTGTACTGCCAGAAGTAATGAGACCAAGTTGCAATAATTAAACAGAAATTGAGCAGTAGTGGACACATCTCACAATTTATAGACCTCTTGAAGACAGGCTAAAAGCTATAATGCTGCTGTTGTTGAGTACCACTGAGTCGGAAATGACTTATATCTGACCCCCAAGTGGGTTTTCAGAGGCAGTAATTGCATGGCAGAAGATTGCTGATCCTCCCGTGGAGCAGCTGGTGGCCCCGAACCATGTGCCTTGGGGACTGCAGTGCAGCTTCTTGTCACTAGGCCATCAGAGATCCCTAAAAGCTATATTACAAATAATTGTTCCCTGACTTGAAGAAATAAAAATTATTATAAAAGTAAAAAAGTTTATTGCTTAATAAATATTGCAGTTGCTTGACCAGTGAGTAGAAACCAACTCACAGCTGACTGTCCAATGGGTTTTCAGAAGCAGTTAATTGCACAAGAGACTGCCCATCCTACTTCCATCAAGCAGCTGGTGGATTCAAACCAGGTGCCTTTGGCATTGCAGCAGAGCTTATATATATATCTGGCATTGGAGAAGGAAATCATGCTTGGAAGGGTGGAGGGACAGTTTAAGAGTGAAAGATCCCAGATGAGATGGATAGGCACAATAATTGTGGTAATGGGAGTAGACTGAAAGGTAAGGAGTGAAGACAGCCTGTCTTGCATAAAAGAATTAGGAGAGCATCAGAAAATAAAAAAAGGTAGCAAACATTAGCATCTACCCTTGAAAACAGTACACAGACTTCTTAAATCAAAAGCCTATTCTTTAGAGTGTAAAAAAGGTCAGTCAACAGGGGTATTTTTAGCTTCATTCACACACACATAGATTGAAGTCATTTTTAGTAAGACTCCCTTCTAACCAAGACAACAAGGATTATACACCTCAATCTTTTTCTGGTTCAGGATAGGGCAGGGTTCAGAGTTAATGTACAAAAAGTTGCTATGGGTCACAGGCAACTGAAAACAACGACATATATGGCACTATTAACCATGACATTTTTCTATTAAAAATTCAAATACGTAAGAAATACCTGTAGAAATAAAAAAAAATCTATATGGACTTTAAGTCGAAACAAACACCAGATAAACCAAAAATTTAATTAAAGTGCTAAGCACATAGAAAAACTTAAAAAAATATAATGTAGGACTGGGAAAACTCTAAGTATAATGCATAAACCAGAAAATAAATACAATAAATCTGATTGCATCATGCTAAATGCATACCAAACATAGCAAAAACTATTGCAAACAAAATAAAAACACAAGCACCAAATGGGGGAAAAGCATTTTAATTCATATAATTTTTTTTTAAAAGTTACTTTCCCTGAAATGAAAAGTCATGGAAATAATAAGACCAAGAACATAGCAGGAAAAAAGTGGGCAAAGATATAAACACACACAACTCACAGAAAACACAAATGGTTTAAAAAAATGCATCCATTTTACCTCATAATGAGATAATTACATTTAAATTTGTATATAGATACGATGTTCAATTGTCAATTTGTCAGAAAAAAAATAACAATAGTATGCTGTTGTGATTATGGAAAACCAGGTAAATAATCATGTACAAATTTATTCTTTGAAGGACTTTCACATAGCAGAAGGATAGAAGTCACTCAAGGTCTACCAGAATAACTGCTCAATAAATTGTGGCATATCCATACAGCAGAACAAAACACGAAAAGGGAAGACCTATACAGAATCTGGAAAATCTCAAAGATGTTCTGCTAATTGAAAAGCTGGTGGAAAACAGTATTCACAGTAGGCTTTACCTTCTGTGAAAATATAAAAGAAAAAAATAATACATGTCTTTATATACACAGTCTAGAAACAAAATTGATTACATTGGCTGCCTTGAGAAGAGAAATGGATGGTTATGACAGAGATGAGGAAGAAACTTTTTCATCCTTAAGCTTTGTATATATGTAACATGTTAATGAATGGTAAATTTAAAAAATAAGTCAAATTATAATTTTAAGAATCCTCAAAAATAAAAAGTCCATGTAGTCATCTGAAATATAAACATATCCTTTGTGGTCTAGGGGTTTGACTTGCCAACCAAAAGGCTGACCATTCAAATCTTCCCCTGATTCCTCAGGGATGATGAGTAATTGCATGATTTACTGCCTCTGAAATCCCGCTGGACCATCAGTTATGAATTGATTCAAACTCAACAGTATATTAAAAATGTATAAATTTGGAGATGATACAAATATATCCAGTACTTGACTGTATTGCTGCTGATATTTATAAGGGTCTACACTTCTTGCTTTGAATATTAGTTTCAAACAAAAATCCATTGGAAAAAATATTTCCTTTTTAGAAAAGAGAATTTGTTACTCTGTCCAGTGAATATAAACTCCTGATTTCATTAATAGTATTTTCATTAGACTTTGGTTTTGACCAAAATAATAAAAATATGTTTTCACCTGGCTCAAAGTATATCTGAAAGAACTGTAAAAGTTGTTATTATGTGCCACTGAGTTGACTACAATTCATAATGACACTATGCACAAAAACTCTGATTCCTGCTCTATCCTGAGCCAACCTCACTGTATCTGACATATCTATCTTCATTAATCCAGTTACTGTATTAAATCATTCTATCTGGGGTCTTCCTCTCCTCCACTGTCCCTCCAGCCTTCCAAGCAAGATGTCCTTCTCCAAGGACTGGTCCCTCCTGATAACATGTTCAAAGTATGTGAGACAGAGCCTCAAAATCCTTGCCACTAAGGACAATCTTAGCTTCACCCTCTCCAGATTTGTTCTCTTGGCAGTCCATGGTACATTCAATAGTCTTCTCCAGCACAACTCAAAGGCATCAATTCTTCTTCTGTAATCTTTGGTCATTGTCCAGCTCTCTGACAATTACAGCATGTAATTATGATGGCCTTGGACTGAATTAGTTGTAACTTAGTCATTAAACTGACATTGCTGCTCTTCAGCACTCTAAAGAGGTCCCTGACAGTAGACTTTTCTAGTGCCATATGTCTTTTGATTTTTGACTGCTAGTGGCAATAGTGTTGATTGTTGAATTGAGCAAGCATAAATTATTAACAATCTCTATTTCTAAAAAAAAAAAAAGAAACCAACAAAACAAAACAATCTCTATTTCTTTTCCATCTACCATGATGCTGTCAATTGGTCCAGTAGTGAGAATCTCCATTTTCAATGTTGAGTTTCAATCTATACTGCAGATTACAA